TATGATAAAATGTATGCGCATTAAATGACTATTTGTCCGTACTAATTGACTGAATGGTTCATGAATTACTTTATTTAGAATACATTCTTATCATCATATTATTTGTTATTAACCGTAGTCTCTGTTTGAGCTGTAGATGTGCCATTTGTCACGATCATCATTTATTTTTGTCACTATTGAAAACGATAATTAAGTCTCTGTTACATGCACAATAATACTACAGCCAAGTAACTTCAATAGCTGTGTCTGAATATATTAAAACAAATTTAATAAATTCCTTTATTAGTTATGTTATGTTTTTGATAACTAAAATTTCTGTGTATGTAAGAAAGTAAACAGGTGGTGGTTTGATGGATATTATAGGTCCAGCTGACTAATGCGTTCGGCACTTTCTTTATATCGATGTCTGTAATTAGGTATTTGTGTACATCACAGAATAACTGCGTTATTCTGTGTATGTATTAAAATTTCTTAAGGGCCCACTTTTCATTTTGCACAATGAAAATCTTTATATATTATTATTATTGTTTACACAGTGCTCGGTAAATGTTTCATATTTATTGAGAATAATTACATACTTACATACTGATTTCAATCATAATTAATTATGTACATTAAATTGATTTTGTTTTGTTTTTTTAGATATGTTACGGATCCAGAAGGACATGCGATTAGAAATAAGGAATAGACTAGGTAAATAATATAGTATTTTCTGTACTATAGGTACTAACAATTATTAAATTGTATATAATGTAGTTTTTTGTTTTAACATAATAATATATTTTTATTTGAAATAATACAATATAAATATTACACAAAAAATACTCGAGGAGTAAACCCTTCACGAGGGGATGTATAGTTATGTATTCCTTGTAATTACACTTAAGTGTGTGATTTTAAATAATAAATAAATAACAACGATAAGTTTTCGATATTTTGGTTACAGGTGACATTACTTCTGAACTACACGAAAGTAATTAAAATCATATTTTGATTTTTTGGTGGTTTTGCTTAATAAATCGCTTATATACAAGTTAACCAACCGAAGGGTGTAAGAACTGAATTTTGAGGGAGGCTATTCTCTAGTATAAATAAACTACCAAAATAGAGTCCTAATTATTGAACTACTAATTACACATCACAGTTTAACCTTTAAATTAAGATTTTGTTAAAAATTGCCTACACTTTACTCCTTAAAAATGGGCGGTGCGACGCTCTCTTAACATTACACATTTTGGCTCAATAAAGTACATTTTAGGTACAAAAGGCGGGTTGTACTAATATTGGCAACACTACAATTCTTTAAAATGTAATGCAACTTTACGAATAGCAACTCATTTTTTTGTTTTTATATTTGTTATTAAGGAGGTTATAAAGATTGGAGTATGTCAGCTTTAGGAAATCAAAGAAGACATAAAGTCAGCGAAGCCGTTAAAATATTAATGAATCTTGTAATAAGTAAATATGCCTATAGAATTTTTTACCATTTTATTTATACATTTTCGTATAAACGTATATGCATACAATTAATCACTTATCTTATTAATTTAACTTTACAAATTAGTAAATTTGTACAATCAATTTAACAAATTAGGTCAACTTATAAAAAAAGTTACATCGCATTAAATAATTAAATTATATAAACAGTTACTGAGGTACAAAGAAATAAAATAATAATAAATTTACAGACATTAATCCTTACTACAGTAACGCACAAACTAATACTCTTTTAATAATATAAATACAGCGCTTACACAACATGGTTATTGACTAGGCTATTTTATCCAACATAAATTTAGTAATAACGTTAAAATTAGACTTAATCTTTTCAATTTGATTCTTGTTCATTGCCTGTATAAAATCTCTTTTGGGTAAATCTTTAACAGCTTGGCATATTATCTTTAAAGATACATACATTTCATTTTTAACTGTCTGTGACCAACCAAAAAGTACAATTATTTTATTTTTGTATTGATATTTAGAATTTAGACCTTGCTAATTTAAAGGGTAATGCAAATTAACTAATATGTTATAACTAGAGTAGAAATTTGTATGTAATATATAAAATTTAGTCGTCACTAACACCTATTTTCTTATAATATAAATGCACTACAGAGTTATTACTTAAAAAATATTGAACTTCAATTTACAATTACAATATAATTTATTTACAGACACATACATCGAGCAAGGCAGGCAGACTTTATACATTCACTGAAAGCTGCATTGTGGTACACATTTAATTTATACGTTTTTAATTAACATAATAAATGTCTTGATGCATACTTGTAGCCTTTCATCCCTTGTAAGGGGACGCAAGACCCTATTGCCTCTATTCATTATAAATTGTTATCCGTTTGACTTACAACTGGAATGTATTGTGTGTACCAAAATTCAGCTTTCGCGTAATTAGTTCCATTCTTTTTCCTAATTTGACTGGACTATTAGACATAACTGTTTTGATATATTTGTCCGATTATGAAATAATTTTTAAATTAACAAACTTGTTTTCCAATGACAATGTTTTTTTTTAATAAAAAAGTTTCTGAGTTAATTATAACCTTATTATCTAATTAACAATTTACGGGTTTTCTTTTTTACAATTTTTATAAGAATTATAAAAATTCTTTATATAATAATTTTCATCAGTGTTCTCCTCACTGACAAATGTCATTGTGTGAAAGTAACATACCATAAAGAATACAGATAGCCTACATATAATTATTTTTCTAGAAATTATCACTAACATATATAAGTTGTATCTTGAAAATAAAAAAACGTAATATTAAATAAGCAAAATTTAAAATGTTTATATTTTTTTTAAGGTGGAAATAGCCCTTACTTCAAAGTGGATATGACCCATTTTCCCAACATGTGTCGTTTAATTGCATTGTACCAAGCTCTCAAAAACCCAGATGCATTTATAGAGTTGGATGATGCTAAAGTCGAGAATAAAATTTGTTTAATAAGATATGTAAACGGGAATGTTATTAAGTACAGTAAAATTGGTGATGATATTTTTCGACTTAACAATATTGGGAATCCATTTCAGCCACTTTCTTTTGAAGTGACTTATTTGTACCAGAAATAAGGACAACTTATTTTATTATTATTATAATATATATATATATATATATATAATATTTTGCATATCTTTTATTATCAAAATTGTCAATACATTGAATGTGATTAAAAATAAACAGTTTTAATCAAGACTATATGAAAATTTTTTACTAATATATTGTAACAATAATGTTATTTATTTCTTTTTCACGTGTATGGTTAATATTATAAAAAAAGTCATGAATATTCCATTTTTAATCTATTTTGTATGAAGTCACATATTACATATTTTCTATCTTCGTATCACACTTCTTATTGAACTGTATACAACATGATTATTTTATCATAAACCAGTCAATATCTCACTGAGTTTAATTAATAACTACATTTTTTTTTATTGTGCTTTTATAAAACGTCATCTCAATTTTTTTTTGTTTTTACCCCCCTCCTAACTTAGTTTTTTTGATAGCAACTTTTGAAACTTAGATGGTAATGTAATTATTTTATTAACTTTTTAAATTGAAAATAATTTACTCAACATTTTGACTGGTCGATAACCAATTTCGGACAACTATTTTTAAAGTTATAGGAGTTTATAAGTTAGGATGGGAGGGAAAGTGCGGTTGGGAAATGCGCGCAGATAAAAATAAAAATACACTCCACCTTCCCTCCTACTCTAAACTAGAAACTTCAATAACTTCAAAAATAGTTATCCGAAACTGGTTATCGACCAGTCAAAATTTGTAGTACATTATTCTCAATTTAAAATGTTAATAAAATATTTACGTTGCTATTTAAGTTTCGAAAGTTGCGACCAAAAAGACAAGTTGAGAGGAGGGTAAAAACAAAAAAAATTGTGAAAAGTTGAGATCACGTTTTATAAAAACAATATGACAAAAATAATTCATTTATTAATTAAACGCAGTGATATATTGACTGGTTCGTGATAAAAGAATCACCCTGTGTACATACATTTTTTTGTGTCTGGACCCACGATATCTTTTGAACCGATATCTTGTGTAACAACTCTGTCGATTAAGAATACCTAAAAGGCACTATTTTGGGATAAAATTAAAAAAATTCACCCACTTTCTTTTTAAAGTCGAGAATAATTTTCAAAAAAAAAAACAATATATTTCTACTTAAATAACTACCGATAAACTTTGGAAACCCCCAAAAAACGCTTTTATAAACCCTTTTACCCTAGAAGGGATAGAAATATTTTCTTTATTCTACTTTTTCAAGTAAACACTAAGGATTTAGATCTAAAAATTAGACCAAAAGTAGACCTAGAACAGACCTATAACATATACAGCTTTCTCAAAAATCTGTAGTCAAATTGTCTCAAGCATAATATAATATAGGAAGTGGGATCCATTCACTTAACAAATAAAGTATAAAATACTCATATGGAATTCAGTGCAGATTGTTAAATATTTTTGTAGACAGCAACAGCTGGTTAACTGACCAAATTTTGACGGGATAGAGTAGAAAGCATTTAAATATTTTAACCATTTTAAAGTGCCGTTACCGTGTAATTATATGAAAGTTGCTCGCTAAAGCAAAATTCCCCATATATTATAAGTAGGGACGTTAGTGTTTATATTTGGTCGTTTAAAATCTGTATGATCAAATTACATTATTTCAAAACCGACTGATAAATCTTTCGGACAAAGCCTGTAAACTTTAAATCAGGGCGTAGCCGTCTTTGGCCTGATTGGGTTTTGCATTCGTGTGTAACATAATATGGTATGTATTGGAACAATTTACTTAACAAATAAGGTATAGTACTTTTGTGGGATTCAGCACAGGTAGCGACAGTAAGTAGGGCACGTTTTGCGTCATACAAAACAAACGATATGCTCTTCTACGCAAATTACAAGTACAACGATATCATCAAATTGTGTAAAGATAAGTATACACACTATGTAGACGTTCAAAAACAACAGCATAGTCATTAATAATAATGTTTTTTATATAAAGCAAAATGTAAAACGTTTTATAGAACATTGTGGTATTGTATTTTTTCTCGATTTCAGTATAAAATAGGATTGATAATAATCATTTTTTTTTTTAAATATTCTTTAATGAATTTAGCCATTGTTAAAATGCTTTTCACAAAATATCATTTTGCGTGCATAGTTTTCCTACTAGCCCAAGCGTGGTCGTTATTTAGCAGTGGAAAAAGGGAAAAACATTGTAGACTTTGGCTTCATTAAATTGCCCCCCCCCCCACATCGGAAATTTGGACTTCTTTAAACGTCATCGGACTATGCTTAAGGAAATGACCAATTTGAATCCATTAAAGTGTAATAGAGAATTTGAAAAGATGTACAAACAAATATTTTATAACATGTTTTCTATTTACTAAATTATTAGCAGTCATAAAAAACGAAATAATCTATTGATTATTGACAACCGTTTATCCCCTATGGAATGTTATGTATGTATATTGTAATATAAAAGTGTATTTACGTAATATTCTTGTGATAGAGTATCTCTTAATATTATTTTAAAAAATATATATTATATTGTAGTGTCTGAAATATTTTTCAAATACGTGTTTGGCTTGCAATAAACAAAAAAGTACTAAAAACTTTACAAAGTATTGGTATTTATTTAAAAATTTTCACAACAACGGACAAATGTTTTCTTGAATCCATTGAAGAGGTCAGTTATGTAAGAACTAGATGTATATCTGAATAGGTTACAACGTTTACTTAAAAATATATGAAAATCAACAACACCGTCACCTGAAAAAATTAAAACATTAATCAACAACAATGTTTACTACAGTGCTATTCTTAATTATTTACCGTTTTGATATTGTTCCTTGGTAAGGTCATTCAATGACAGAAACTCCTTGTGTAATTGTTCCATCTAGAAGTTTTAAAAAATACCTTATATTATAATACAATGTAATAACACAAAATGCGTATGATTATTAATCGGTATGATTTAATTTATACGCGAATCTATTCGTATACTACATACTTTAATATTCATATATTTAAATACTAAAATAATAAATAAAATATTAAAAGTACAATTCGTTATGCGAATGAAAAACATGACATCATATAATATAGGTAAAACGTATTCTAAAAGTTATTAATTAATTGATGATTACAGAGATTAAAATTCAAAAAATTATGTTTTTTTTGTCTTAAAAGAACATGTTCAAAAAATATGTTAAAATGTTATTGTTGCTAATTTTTCAGGACATAATTTAAATTATATCTTTCCGTGTGGTAGTATTATTACCATTCATAGACAAAATGTAAAAAATATTAAAATTATAACTAGTTACCCGATCCGAAGCCTCCAACATTTTCACTATTTTGCTGTACTCCGCCCATTCAATTTCTGATTGTTCTGTAAACGGTTTGTAGAAAATTAAAAAACAAAATTCAATAAGTAGTTAAATTTTTTATTACCGTTAAAACCAACAAGTTTGAGTACTACTAAAACTTCGTTTTTGTCTATGAAAATTTCCGAAAAAGTGTTCGCTATCATGTTAACGAAATTCTTCACTTGAAATTTTGTAATTTTGATTCTCCTCTACGCCTCCTCTCTAAAAAAATATAAGAAGATCATATTATGTCAATTAAATAACGACTTTTATTGGTAAGGTTTAGATACAAAGAATATCATACAGGATATTTTATTAAGTATAATACACATCAATTTGTAGTTCTTTCTTTTTGAGACAATATTAATTTACAATATTAGACTACACAAATATTTGTATTCTTCCCGTTAATCAATCAATTTTAGTAACTTAAATGATGACTTTTATAAACAATTAACTTTTTTAATCGGGAATATTTTGCTGAGAATTTTGTCTGGTCGATAATACGGTTTGGATAATTACTATTTTAGTTACAAAAGTTCTAATACTTCAAACTTGTCTATCCTCATCTTTTCTTCTCTCAAGTTCCTAGCTAAAAATTAATACTTTAGGTTTTTTAAGTCCATTCAACAGTTCCATTCAAAAGTTAATAATAAAAATTACATTTTTCTAGTACAAAATCGTCAATGATCACAAAATAATTTAGATAGTTTGTTGTACTTGATGATTTGTATAACTTATAATTTGGTTGAAGTTCTATAGGGTTTGTTTGAAATATTCTCATGGTTCATGGTACACAAGAGCAACATATAAAGTTAGATAATTCATATTTCAGTCAACTCAACAAACCTGTGACAAAACAAATATCATCGGTTTCATTCTTTTTAGTTGTTCCAATTTTATTTCAGTGCTTCCTGAAATGAATTATGGCATTTGTAGAATGATTTGTTCGAAGAATATTGTTATATTTTTTATATTACTCTGTAAATTAATTAACAGTGTATATGTCTCTGCTTGGCGAATTGTAAGGAATCCGTTGAACACTTCGAATATTAGAGTCTGTAATTCCGTTGCAGAGATTGAACCATCATGATCGATGTCGTACTTGATAAATATCTTTTTCCATTCTTTGGTGGACAATTTTTCCAGATTTGGATTTACATTCTAAAATATTATGTACAATTAATTGCATGCGAATCGTTTTATTTAACGAAAAGTTTTAAAAGTATTAAAATCATAATAATTTTTTGTACTAGAAACTTATTTTCCCCCCTCTAATTTTCAGGTACTTATTTTAGAAAATAGTATGACATGTAAAACAATTTTGGAAAACTAGAAAATTGGGTTTTTGCTGAAAATAACGTTAAAAAAAACAAAAAGTATTTTTTTTCAAATTTAAAACAAAATAAATTTTTTTTTTTTTTCAGACTTTGATGTGTTTATTTAGTGCTTTTGTTAGACACTCATTCCGATATAGATAAACTATTAAAAACATTAGAAAAACAGAAATTAAGAGCTCTTTTTCTATTTGATTACAAGCGTATGGAATAAATAACTTAGAAATAATTGTATGAATGTTAATTAATAACTCCGGACGAAAGAACGAAAAACACTTATGCTGCTAACTATTCGTTATTATCGGTGAAAATAAAATAAAATGGTTGAGAATCGGACACA